AAAAAAACAGCTAGTGATCCTCCCTTATTGTAAAGGAATTTCAGAGAAAGTGTGCAGGATCTACAAGAAGCACAGTGTCAACACAGCTTTTAGACCTCAGTGCACATTGAAACAACACCTAGTGGCACCAAAGGACAAAACCCCCCAAGATCACCGTTGTGGGACAATATACAGGATCAATTGCCATGACTGTAATTCCTTTTACATTGGTGAGACAGGTAGACAGTTGAAGATCAGGGTGAGTGAACACAGGAAATCAGTGACTGTAGGCAATACCAGCTCTGCCATTTCTGAACATGTAAAAGACACCGGCCACAGTATAGATTGGAATTCAACTAAGATTCTTGAATCTGAATCATCCGACATCCCGCGAAAAATACGAGAGGCTATCAACATCAGCCGACACCAGCCACCCATGAATAGGGACGGGGGGTCGATCTACCTGACATTTATAAGAGGGTCCTGGCCGCTATACCACCTAGCGGTCAGTGAGTGTGAACAACTACTCACGTCAGTCTGATGAAGGCCTTCGACCAGGTTGGCCGTAAGCTAACGGTACGAAAAATTTTAGGCTTGTGTCTGAGAATTTTCATATATATATATATATATATATATATATATATATATATATATATATATATATATATATATATAATAGGTAAAAATCGAGCCAAACTTACCCTCGTCAACCCAGCCCTCAACAGTCGCGCGACAGATCATGTCTCTGAATTGGCGCGTCTTGTCCTTCAGCTCACTAAACAAGTCCACGGCCAAAACGGTCTCATTGACCGGCTCTGACGCTATGTACTGTAACTCGGTCATATTATAATCGGCAACACCTATGGCAATAACTGTGACGTTGGCATTGTGAACCTTAATTAATAGAAAGGAGAACGGTTCCATTAATTTTCACATGAAAATGGACTCTCACACATTTTATTTGTAATTATTTTGTGTTGTACATATCAATTATACTTTTGCCTCCATCTATAAAATAGACTCTTTGCTGTAGATGTACATATTACCGGTATCTTAATATAGTTTATGGAATTATTTTTTAGTTATTCTGCAACTTATGTATTGCAGTTCTCGTTTAATTGTCCAGTAAGGTTTGCAAGAGGACACCTACCAAGTCAGCAGCAATAGCGGTAGCCTCGGGATCTGTGGAACCACCGTCTATAACGAGCACGGCCACGTCTTGCACATCAGGTCGATCGCCGTTTTCTTCCTGGAGGATATCGTTTCTGGATAAAATGAAAGTTTACTACAACCTTATTAGCCATTTCATACGCGTGTTGTTCTTCCCACTCGTCCCATTTTATTACATATACTAAGATTTTTTTTATTTTTGATACTTAGAAAGTATTTTGAAGTTAGATTCATGATAAAGTATGCAGATTATTTTATTTCACATTTCATTTGTGATTTTTAACTTTTTGGGTCATTTTTTCCTTTGAAGAGATCTGCTTCAAGAGTGAGTTAGGAGGGGGTAGGGTGAGACGTTATGTTGAAAAACCAAAGCTCACAGCAGCGAGTTCAACGCAGTATCTGAATTGGTGAGTCCTCTCTTGTAGGGAATCTTGTCTATATTTTGGATGAGCGTTTCGAAATCAAGTGTTGTGTTGAGATGGAATTCCACCTAGAAATAATTAATAATCAGTAATTAACAAATGAAAAACAAATGTCTACAAAATATTTTAAAATATCTCATTTGCGGATCAACTTTGTTGTTTTTATCCTATCAAACCGTCACGTAACTTACATTGGCGTTGGAGGAGAACTGGATCAGGCCGTATCGTATCTTGTCTTCACCAAATGGTAGCGTTTGTACGGCCAGTTTGACGAAATTATTCAGAACGTCAAAATGTTTATGTTTCAGACTCCCACTGCCGTCCAATAGAAATACAATGTCAGCCGTTGGGTCGCACGCTGAAATAATAAACATTATAAGTAATTCACAATCTTAATTTTTTTACGGGAAGATCTTTACAGTAGAAAAGTGTGGTTTTGCGCATTTCATCGTTTCAAGACCCAATCACTTTTGAAAGGAGTTTTTGAAGGAAATTATTTTTGAAGGATATTAGTCAGGAAAGACCAGTAGGATATAAAGTTGTAAAAGCCTGTAACCACCTACCTTGACAAGGGCGTGATTGGGTTTCCATGCCATAGCTTCCGGGAACCGGTTTCGCGTACTCTCGGGTTCTCGTTGCAGTGCTGTCCTCTGGTGAGCAGTGCGACCACGTGCTCCACGGAAAGACCTCATTACTGCACGCCACAATGATGCTGAGTAAGACGTCAGTGTCGTCAGTGACGTTTCGATCTGGGGTGCAGGTGACATCTATGTTGTCAATTAATGGTCGGGGAGCGCCAAGTTTTTTGTCTCTAAAAAATGTGAAATTTTATGAATCGGAAACATTTAATTTGCGATGCCCTGTATAATATCTGAAAAGTAGGCCTATTTATTGTCTCTTCTTAATTACCTAAGGATTCAGATTTTATATGAAATTATCAAGTACTTGGAAAGATGCTGTTCTAAATTACATCTTAAATTGTAATTGTCAGTCTTTTTGAATCAGTTTATGTCAGCAGTAACACTCGTGGTCGTAGCAGAAGTAATAGTTCCTACAGTTTTAATGACAGTGCGAGTTATAGCAATATGGGTATTTTTATTTAAAAATAGCACCATGCTCCATAGTTAATCTTTAACCGAAACTTTTCTGACTGGAGCTTTAGGAGGGACACGAACCAGCCTCTTCATTTTCAAATTTACCACTCGCGCCCGCTTTCCAAGATGAACATCGGTGGAGGTTTACTGAAGTGTACGGGGGCAATCATCATAGGCTCTTTATGGGAAAACCAACTGCTCTTTCCAGATAAAGTAAAACACGCCACTGTAGGAGACATCACGATAAGCGTGCACACAATAAAATACATGGAGGGAAGATTTGAAAATGAAGATGTTGGCTTCCTTCGAACCAGAGGCTCCGGAATCTTTCGCCTTACATGTCTTCAGAATAGACCGTGCAGCCGACTATCCGAGGGGCGACGAAGTGCTCTGGGCAGCCAATAGATGGCCTCAGTGAGCTCTCTGGATCCGTTCCGTTTACTCTTTCAGTAAATTCTGTATAGCTGTATTCTGTGATAGGGTTCTGTCTGTTTACCCTGTCAGAAAACTTTGTATAGTTGTATTCTGTGACAGGGTTCCTTTCTGCACACGTGACCACTGCCTAAACAGAGTCAAATAGTAAACGTGCTGGTTTCAATGAAAAAATAATAAAAAGTTAAAAGTCAACAAAGAGAGGAAGACATTGGCTTTGAACAAAGAAACAAACAGAAACTGGAAAGAAAGATAGATAGGCCTACAGTTGAACAAAATACAAAGGGAGAAAAAAATTGGAGAGATGATGAAAAATAAAATACTGCACCTTTATTTTTTTCTGCGACTTGGCTTTGCCGGGGGGGATTTTGCCAACTTTTTTTCCAGCGTAGTACGCATAGCAAAATGCAACCCCCGGGTGGTTGGAGCTAAAGCGTAGTCTGGGTGAACATTCGCCGCTGTCATCCTCTGTGAAACATTGACAACTTAGGGCAAAATAACCATCAGGGCACCTCACGGTCGTCACGTTAGATAACTGGAGTTCTCCAATAACCACTGAAAGTTTCGATAGACATAGAGTAATGCTAAGTGCACAGAACAGCGAGATATAGTTTCTGAAAGTCCATCTTTTGCTGTACTCGTTTGAGTTCTTTGAAATATATCTTGAGGCCTGTTTACCAAAAAAAAAAAAAAATTGAAAATTAATATCGACAGTTAGGGACCATTCCCAGGCCCTATCGTACTAACTGTGGATCGATCTATCTCCAAGGGGATTCTTGCTAAATTGCATTCAATTTAAGCGGTTCTGATGTCTGGAACGCCTTCTGAAGCTGTTGGGGGTAATTAACTATCGTTTAGCAACTTCAGTGGGCGTACCAGACATCTAAGCCGCTTAAGCTGATTGTAATTTAGCGAGAATCCCCTCGGAGAAGGGTCGATGCTGCTAGATCGATCTAGGTAGGTGAATGGGGTCTTAGTTCCTAATAATGTACAGCCTCTAACCTTCCATATCCAAAATACTGTACGAATGGAAATATTTCAAGTTCACGGGTTTTTTTCACGTGGACTGATGTCGGTTTTTAGTGAAATATAGAACGACTATGTTTTCACATCAAGTAAAAAAGCTTTTCTAGCGCAGGTTGTAACTTTGTTTCTAAAACAGCATAAGTATAGAAAAACAGATCTTTGCAAATGAAGAGAGGAAACATTTAGCAAACTATATTTTTTGACTGCCACTTTAAGTTTCTTACTGAACGAGACTAAAATCACACCAAATGTGAATATGCATATTGAAGAACATGAAAATAATAGTAACAATACTGAAATTAATAAATTAAAATTCTAAATGAAAGATAAATCTTATTAGTAAGAGTGAATAAATGAATAATATTATAAAGCACCAATCAGTCGGGTTCCATGACTTATTTCTCACCATACGTCCCATCACAGTCTTCTTTCACTCCGCTTGCCAACCCCGACCCCGGGTCAGGTATTCCAGGCATCCCCGTCTCACCCGAAAATTTGACGTCAATCATGTTGTAGTCACGTGATGACCTCCATATGCATTCATCGGTACTGCTGATGTGGGAAAATGCTTTGCAACTTGGATTCTAAAATATAAAACGCTTGACCAATTGAAGCAGCCAAAGTTTAACAAGTGCAACAAGTGCAGTGTGTAGTCAACCCTGTTCCGTTTTATTTTTTAGCAAGGGTATGATTTTTCGTTGACGTTTATCTCAAACTGTGTGCATGACTGTGAAATGTCTGCAAAATTTGAACATTGTAACAATTTAATAGTACCCTCCACTAAAAAACGATGGTCATCTCACAATATTGAAAAAATCTAACAAATGAAGAACAAGGAAATTAANATAATATTTTGAAAAGGCAAGGCGCACATGTTTCATGAAGAGACATCTCGTCACACCTGTCTTTATAAAACACCAAGTAACTTTTTTGAAACAAAAATGTTGGACCATCGCAGAGTACGTATATAGGTACCTACTTTACTGCATTCCGCCTGGCAGTCAAAAGTCGTTTTTATGTTCGTTAATATGGTAGTGTCGTGGGTCTCGATCTCAGTAGTAGCGATCACGTGATCAGGCCAGTGGTGGTAGCTGCATTTTGGTATCAACTCAGCGTCCGTACCTGAAACTAAGGTTAACCTGACTGAAAAATTGACCCCTCCTAAAAAATGATAAAATGAAAAAAAATAAAAACACTCTACACACAGTTATTGTATTCCATAAATGCATGTATTAATTTTTTGTAGGTTTTAACAGCCACTGTCCACTGATATGGAAGGCCAACTGCATGGGATTTACCCACCAAAATGAATATTCCCGGGGAAATAAGCAATTTTCTCGTACTCACAAATCATTTATCTGTCCTTTTCTATACTTGGATTCGACCTTTAATTAAATCTTTAAAGGTTAATTTAGTTTAAAACGGCTAGTCAGTCACTATAACCAGCTACCGTTTTCCTCAGCTCCGTTGAAAATATCAACATCGGGTACGCCCCAGAAAAAAATTAAGGAGTTAAATAGTTTTAAGGTGTATTAGGTAAGGTTTTATAAGAAGCTGTGGATGTCAAAATAAGCACTTGTGGATTTCCAAACCCATGGAGTGTACCTTTAATGTGAATAATCAAACATTATTAAATTATTGCTTCAGTCCTACCCCTTTACGATAGACTAACGCACGTTGTCCCTCTTTAACATAATATCCGAAATTTGCGGCTCAAGATGGAGATTGTGAATAATTTGGTTTGTGCTCAAATATCTTACCTATTATAATAATCCCAAACAACAAGATCGGGGTGAACTTCTGCATGATCTTGATTCCTGCAAAAACGAAACCTGGATTTTTTAAACTGAAAATATTTAAAATCTGTTTTTATTGATCCAAAATTGGCAATCAGATTCTACCAACTTACAGTGCCTCTCAAAATAAACGTCATATTTAGAGGTACATTTCACTACAAGGTTACTAAACAGTTAGTTGTCCTTTTCAATAGACTTTGTGACAATCTTCTGCGATGAAATGGAGCCTTGTATCAGCTACAGTGCTGCTGATACGGCGTAAAGCAATCACAGGGACTCTCATTAACTAACTATCGCACACGCACGAGCACACACACACACACACACACACACACAGTGACACACACCAATATTTATTCAATTGATTATGGATACCAACATGACGAATGTTATACTACAATGAATCTCTAACTCAAGGACGAACTACCAGTGATGACAACTTATCACACGCCTGATTTTACTTCTGCTGTCCCAGGCTCACTTAAATGTTATGCAATATTTCATGATGAAACCAGAAATTCTCATTTGTTTGTCTCCGACCCGCTTTCGAATACGTTGGGATTTTAGTTTTCAAAGATGAGGACATGTTTTTGAGCGAGATAAGACACGAGTTAATACTAAGTAGCATAAATCAATCAGCAAACTTAGGAAGATTATGAGTAAAACACCTACCCGTCTTACACCAAGGCGACCCCCCTCACTGTCATGGCGCCACTCCAAAATGTGACGGACGTGAAATGAATAAGCCACGCCCTCGTGTCAATTTAATACACACCCCACGTGACTCAGATTCTGATGTCTGACCAATGAAATAAAAGGACCAAAGTCTGCGAGGGGGGGGCAAAGCAAGTTACTTTAGGGGTTCATTGGCGAGTGTTTGCCTTTTATTTTCTCCGATGATGTCATAACAGCCAAACCCAATATAGAGGTGCAAATAAGGTCAAGTACTTGGGTAAGATGAAACTTCTTGACAAATTTTCTGGGGGAGATACGTTACACAGTATTAGCCATGACTAATTTACCATGACTGAATCACAACAAAATATTTCGGAACGCGATATTAAAATTGAAATTAAATGACCCGATATATACGTTACAATTTAGGCTCCTTACATAATTGTAAAGACATGGTAAAAATCAAGAATTAAAATTAAGATGGTGGTGGGTATTTTTTCTATATACATTTATGTTTTAAAAAATGAATAGAGGTTCGAATTCATTTAGCATGTGAACTGGACCTCTATATTGGGATTTGGTGGTAAGAGTCTTACTATATCGTCAGTCAGCGTCTAGATGAGTACCTCTGGGGACATTAATACCTGTTTAATGCAGTTGCTTGCCAGTAGATTGTAGGGTTTCAACAATTGCCCTCTTATGTATTTTTACGGTCTAGAATAAGGTACAAGACAATAATAATAATAATGATAATAATAATAATAATAAATGATAATAAAAAATAATAAAAATTTATTTTACATTCACTATTCATTGAATATTTTAATTCTTTTATTTAGCCCAAACTGCTTTTTAATTAGCTGTGACCTTTATACTTTTAGGCATAAACATTTTGATTGCGTATTTTAATATCTATTATCTTTTAAATTAATATCTTAATATTCATGCCTTTTGATATGCATTTGTCTTTGCACTATTAATGTAATGCTTATCCTTTTGTTCGGAATTTGAAATCATTGTTTCTTAATTTTAAGATCGAGTTAAAAAGCTCGTTATGAGGCATTTAACGAATAATTCAATCATATCATGAATGAGTGACCTCTCACGTGACTTTCAGTGTGATTTTTAGAGCAGAGGTCTAACAAAGTCCGTAATAAACGTTGGTGGGTCCTAATTTTGAAGTAATGTAACTTATGAATCAGCGATGAAGATGGACAAAGATGCAAGGAACATTGTATGCCAAATACTTAGTTCTACTGTAATTGGTATAATTTTAGTTTAATTTTTTTCCTTCAAAATCAACACTCTTCAAAAAATTAAAATAAAAACATTGGGGGCGGCCACGTGAGACGGCATCTTGTTTGTCTTGTTCAAAGCTTCCCGTAAGTGACGCAAATAGGCGCTCAGACTTCTAAGGGATTCCAGAATACCTGTTTGGCAAATGTGCCTTCTACTATCACTCACGTGCGATCACTTTCAGTGAAGTAATGGACGTCTTTTTTTACTCAAAATTTCAGATTGAATCGCTCGTCTAAAATATTTCATTTTGTTCGAAATAGTCAAGCTTCAATTTTTACCATTTTGTACTTCAAGACGCAGGCTTAGCGCACCTCAAATTTTTTTTGCAGGATAAAAACAACTGCCAAGTTGATACTTAAATAATTCGCTATGGAAATGGACAGAAAGCTAGATTGGTCACTTGTATTCAGTATTACGCAAGCAATGCCTTTTTTACAAAGTGAAATATTTTGCAAGATGAGGTATGCTCTCCGCCATATACTGCAGAAGACTCAAGCTTCAAACGAAGATTTCCACTAATCGCTTCACACACTAACTTATACCCGATTTTAAGCACGTTTTTCACTTGCTTATGCTACAGATATATTCTGCTTGTTATCTTATGGAGAATTTCAAGAGGTTCTACTCTCCGAAAGATAAAGAATGGTGAAAGAACGTGTTTAACTTAGGCTCATTTTCAGCGATTAGCTATCATCAGATTACAGATTTTAACTTTTTTCATAATTTTGAGAATTTTTTTTAATTTAAAGTAAAAAAAAATTGGATAACCAAAACAAGGTATTCAAATATGCGAGAGGGGTTGTTCGTAAATTGAAAACAACAATACAGTTAGAAAATGGCTAAAATTTATTATGCAATACAGGGTAAGAAAATATTTAAAACGACACTACGTCAAAAAAGTCCGAAAATGGTACATCACTGAACGAATTCCAGAACAAAATATCAATTACCAAAGTGTGAGTGTTCATTTGCAGCTTCTCAATGGCACCTTTGATATGGAATATATTGAAAGCACTTATCACATTCAGTCGTTAGTATTTACACACATTGCAACGTCTCCTAATCATTTTTTTCATTGTTTAAAATACTTTATAAAAAGACGCTTTGCGCCAACTGTATATATATAAAAACGTCTAACTATATCTCAAAATTAAGGATTGTGGTCCACTAAATGGCTAGAAATCATCCTCGTTTGGGGCCCTTCCTCTTGGGTCCATGTTTTGCCGGCCCGAGATTATTAGCCCCCGGCACGTGATTGTGACCACGTGGTCCGCCACGCCCAACAGCGTTCTTGAAGGAGCGGGGCGTCAGGGGGTGTGGATGAGACGGCCAACCACCAGGTGTATTCTGCGCTGGGATCGGTCCTTTGCCTGAAATCAACAAATCGGATTGAATCAATTGTAAAGGTTATTATGATCGGTGGATTTTTCATCGTACAAGAAAATGTATTTTGATATTTTCTATCAATTTCAAATTTGCAGAAAACCTATTCGACATCAAAATGAAAAAAGGAAATGTTCAAAATAACCCGAGGGCCAAATGCCAATTGGAAACGAATCCTTCAGACCAGTAACGATGGAATAACCTCAAAATCCAAGACATCTCATGTCGAATTCGATCCAAGACACTTAATGAAAATAAACCAGTAAGATTCATCGACGCTTTGTGGTATTATTGCCCCTTCCAATCGGAATAACAGGAAGTTGGGAGCCAACTTACCGCCTGGGAAAAAGCAGCATTCAAACAGCACGTGGAGAATGTCAAGTTGGGAGCCTGTTCCACAAGGGTAGATCGTCTTGCACGAACCTTGTTCATTGCACCTGGACTCGAGCTTGGACTTTATCCCGGGGACGGCACTGCAGTTACCATCCGGACAAATAAGGACGTCTTCGACCTAAATTGAAAAGAATTCGAGCATGATGAAAACCAATGTATGAAAATGAAAATGTGGTTTTATCTGTAAAAAAGTAGTGGCTAAAATCGGTAGTAACGCAGAGTTTGTGTAAAGCGAGCGAGTCATTTTTTAAATGAAAATTTTGCACATTACACTTCACATGTAAGACTTTGGCCAAAATGGCAGGTATTGAAACGTGCCGTATTTACAGGGCTTGTAAATTATACAGGGCTCATTATACAGGGCTTGACATTAAGGGTGGCCCACTGGCCCTGGGCCACTGAAAACCAACCTGGGGCCATTGAATCGCTGGGGTCACTGGCCCAAAGAGCAAGTAAAATGTCATGTATCAAATCATCCTTGTAATATTTATCGATATTTCGGGCCAGTATCAAAAAAAGTTAGTGTCAAGCCCTGTTATATCACAATGATCCGGTTTGTCTATGGCGAAATAAGTTCCATTCTTTTTCTTTAAATTCTGTAAAAATTATGAGGGACAAAAGAACAAGTTTTGCGAAACAAGATGGAGTCTTGGAGGCAATAATATGCTCGGTGCCATATACATACTCTGATGTATCTGGTATATTTATCTTCGGGACAGTAGAGTTGGAGAGTAGTGGTTGTTCTGCAGTCGATGTGAAAGTCGTGCTTGGAAGCTGGAAGAGCAAGGTACTTTATAAATGACAGCGCACTGCACTTAATGTAAATGTATGTACATTTTTAGAGTAATCTGCACGACGTTGACAACTGAAAATTTACACCAACACCAACACCACAATAATGTTTTACTATTTAATTGAAAATAAATTTACCAAAACGAAATGATGGTAACGTTTTAATCAATCGCCAAATCCTGGGGCACTGGCCTTTCAGCCATTTGGTGTAATGGAAGTCAGAGGTACAATAGAACTGTGAATGAAGCTATTCAACCAGCCCCTGCCAAGGACCCTTCACCTACCCCAGCAGCAAAACTGGTTGCACTCCTGGGTTTCAGACTGCTCCTCCATACCGCAGACAGCAGCGTTCAGACAACGCCGAGATCTGGACTGAGTACCGCCGCCACATGTAGCTGAACAGGTGCCCCAAGCTGTCCACTCAGTGTAGTCAGAACCTGAAATAAAAAAATATATTAGAAATATTATCAACTACGTTAAAAGTAAGCGCTGTAACTTAATTTGTAATATCTTTAATACAAAATTTGTAATATCTTTAATACAAATAGGTTATGGTACACACGCACACAGAGAGAGAGAGAAAGAGAGAGAGAGAAGAAACTTTTTATCGGCCATCTTTTTATCCTCAAGAAGTAAAGTTAAATAAACAGATTGATAAATTAATACATTAAGGAGAGAAACATTTGCAACAGTTGTTAGTATTTGGATCTTACCCACGGTCCAATCCACGTCGCCAGTCTTACAGAGGG